TTTAAAAAAATCGGTTGTGAGAGGGTGAGTGTATGTGAGGAGAGGAGGGGGTGAAAAGGTGAAAAAGTGAGTATAAAGGGTATTTTGGTCATTTAGTATTTTAAGACTTTAAGAGTTTTGCTAAATTTGCTTAATAAGATAGTATAGATAAACATATTTAGAAAAAGGTATTTGCCACCCTCTTGAGCGCCTCCACCACACCGGTCCCACAGTCATCAGGGGGAGGTAAATCACGCATGCATCCCATTGGCAGTGCCTGGGCTAGAACCTGGGACCTCATACATACGGATTACTCCCAACCTCTACCCTACGATAGATCAGCAGGGACAAATATAAACATATTTGTCAAATCGCATCCAAGTCTACGACACATACCAAATCTAATTTAAACAATACTTTCGGCCACAAAAGTTGTTTTTTTCCCTTGAGATGGACTAGTTTACTGAACTTTTGTTTCCAAACCACATTCCAACTAAAATGACCAATTCTGTGTACACTAGATGCTAAAAAGACTAAAATAACCCTACTTTAGAAAAAGAAAAAGAAGGGTAATACCAAGGGAGGCCATCCGATTTTTAATATTTCTCGTTTAGACAATACTACTTGTTATCTTTCAAATGAACTTCATTTCAAAAAAAAAAACTAAAATCCCCAGTTCTGGATAAAATCACCATTTTCAGAAAATGCGCACAGAAAACCATATGCTTAACTCAAAAGAAAATGATAGGATGATGTTAAATCTGTAGCATTTTACAGTTCAAGGGGAAAAATTGGGTTATCAGGCCAAAATATGTTGGCTTTTATGCCATTTATCTCCACATGCATATTTGAGTTTTGAATCACCATTGGTCACAAATTTCATACATCCTATTTTTCTAAAGTTCGTTTGGATTTGCAACCCAAAATAACATAACAAAATTGCAGCATGAAAAACTGAAATTATTTTAATTGGTATATCCTGCAATTGCATTGGGGTCTGCGAAAGGTAAGATGTATATAGCCAGAAGAGGAGTTTTTTTGCAAAGTGTAAAACTAACAAACGCATTTTAAGAGTTGATGAAAAGCTCGACACAAACTTGGGAAAGAAAGTACACACAACAAACAACCGGAAATAAGATTAAAACAAGTGGGTGCATGACTTTTCAAATGTTAAATTTAACATGAATTTGCAAAATGAGAACAAACAATCAATTGAAATCAATAACATTTGATAAAACATTGATTCAAACTTAGGATATACATGTGTCCTTTTCAAGAATCATACAAAAACAAGGTTTCCCACCAAGTGACCAGAATTCTTCATACAAAGTTTCATTGTCTTTTCAAAGTGAATGCAAATTGTATCGGCTAGAATTGGTATTTTGAAACAAAAGTTTCAATAAGAAATATCAGTAATTATATGTCCTTGATAAGAATTGATAACTTATCGCAGCTTAATTTGGGCTATAAATCTGTCTGCTACAACCCCGCAGATCTAAGTTTGTAAGAAAATAAATTACACTATTACAAGATTCGGGCAATTAGGAATGCCGGTTTCCTTCTCTTATCCTTTTCTCGTATACTTTTCTTATTAGTAGGGGTAAACTTCATCATATTAACGCTCAAAATGATAAAATATTAGCAAATCCTAGCAATACTCTAGGATGTAGGCAAATTAGTGAACCAAATAGAGGTGGATTCTTCTAAATTGTAATTGTTGTTGTGTGTTTCAGTGTTTGATTATAATTTCCTACACAACCACTATTGAACTGAACAAACCAGAGGCATGTCACCCAAACCTTTCCCAGTGTTTTAGGGCAAATTTCTTGAAATCATGAAATTCTTTATAATCCCATTAAATTACAAGAAGCAAAAAGCATCAACACTTTTGCTAATCATGTGAATAAAGAAACTGTTTCTCTAATAAGTGCTTAAAAAATATGTGAACCCAAATACAACATCCAAAAACATCAGAAATCACTTCCATACTCCAAAAGTACAAAGATTATACTGCAAGCAAGCTGAAGATCAATCTGATGAAATTGGAATTGAATTACAAAGAAAATCAGATTCAGCAATTCAAGACAAACCCATTTCAGTAGATCTCAAATCAAGCAAAATATAACCGCTGATCAAGTAAAAGTAATAAAATGAACCCTGATTTGGAGCTTAAGCAGTATGAACTTAAATAGGAAACACCATAATCGAACATTAGATGAGAGGTTGGAGACAGAACTGATAACTTACAGCGAAGGGATTAACTTCATCACCATCGTCAAACGGATTAGGATCAAAACGACCAGCCATTAACACCAAATTATGGCGGGAGAAGATGAGGTAAACAATAGGAGGATCGGTGAATTGGGTATGAACACAATGACCAAAAAGAGCCTGAAATTTGAGATAGAAGAGAGCTTCAAACAAGTATTCAAAAGCTTAGGCGTGTTGAAATACCAGAAGAAGAGAAAAAGGAAGGAGAGAGACAACGGATTGTCTGCGTCGAGATGGTCAGCAGCCACCATAAGCTGAAGTTTTCAAACTTCTTGAAACTCTTTTCTTTATAAACTACGTTTTTAGTCCCTGTAGATTGTTGAAAATTGTTATTTTACCCCTACATTTTTTAAGTTATTATTTTATTCTTTCTTATGATTTAAGATTTATTGTTTTTTTCATGGTTGTGGTTATATATAATTCATTGTTGTTTTCATCATTAATACTCAATAGAAAACTATAGATAGAGTTAGAGTTAAAAGATGAGAACAACAATTAACTACATAACACAAAAATGCAAGTAATAATTGTAATAGGCTGTTTGGTAGTTGCTGAATGATTTGGTGCAGAGTTATTAAGTGGTTAGAATAATTAAGAGACTCTCATGATATAGTATAAAATGAAATATAATTGTTTGGTAATTGTTTACAATGAAAATATGACGCTTAATGGTTAAGGGAGGCTCATGATACAAAATCATTCAGAGGGTTTTAGAACCATTAAAGGGCAGATTTTTTTTTTGGCCAAATAAAATTCACTTTTTAATGAAATTATTAAGTGATAAACAAACAACCCTAAACAAATTATTTAATTAAAATAATGCTTCAAGATTAAAACCGATTGAATCATGAGTCAACTTAATGAGTCGCTATCGAGTTTGGATTCAATGAGTCAGAATTACATCAAACTCGTTAAAATACATTCATATTTTAATTTTAAATTTAAAATTCTTTTGAATATTTTAATACTAGAAGAGTATTCGCACAATATAACGAAATATATCTTCATTTTAATGTTCCGTTTTATTTTTTGTCTTTGTTGATATAATACGGTTTATATGGTTTTGAGAAAAATAATGTTTTTACGTTTGAATAAAAATAAATTTGAAAAAATATATCGATATTAATATCAAATTAACTATTTAAAAATTCTCGTTTTTTTACAATATATTTAATTCAATTTTTATTATAATTTAATTTAGGTTAAATAGTGAAGTAATTTATTTTTGACTTAACAATAAAATTATATAAAGAAAATGATTATATTAGAACTTAATGATTATCCTAATTATATTTTAGATTTTTTATAATTAAAATTTTAGTTTTTTATCTTATATTTGATTATGTTTATCTGCAGTTAGTTATACGAATTCAAAAATAGAGCTTTAATAAGATGTATTTATGCATAATTTACTTGTAATATTGAATTAAAAGTAATATGCATCAATAAATAGTATTTTATATATAAAAAATAGTTTTTAAAAATTTTTGTCAAATATTTTATAATATAATATAGATATAGACTAGTATTAGTATTATATTTGTTTCTAGAATTCAATATAAAATGTATTCAAACTTGGCTTGGTTGGCCATTTTAGTCTTTGCATTATATAACAATAATGGTCCTTGAATTATCGTTTATGCTCTATTTGGTACTCAAACATCACGCTCTATTAAATTTTATTCCAAGGGTAACTTAGTAAATTCATCATTCAATTATATATGGGAGTTTTCAGATGACATTTTTATCATCCAAAACAGTGGGATATATTGGGTTCGTTTGATTTGAGTTGTTATAAACAATGAATTATCGACCGACCATTTTTATTTTTTATCGTAAAACAGTGTCTTATAATTCTTGCAAGGTTTAGTTAAACAAGAGATTTTTTTGATGTTACATTTAGGACCATCTGATATTAGTCAAGGTACGTATGAACTGAACCGGATATTCATACTTTAAAAATAATTAACATGTGACGATGGTTATAGTCACATGATTTATATTCACTAGAAGGATGATCGTATAATATAATGAGATATATCTCAATTTTAATGTTTTCTTTTATTATTTATCTATGTCGATATATTACGGTTTTTAGTGGTTTTGAGAAAGCGATAATGTTTTTCTTTTTGAATAAAATATAAACTTAAATATATCATAAAAAATATATCGATATTAGCATCAAATTTACTATTTAAAGTTCTGGTTTTTGTGTAATTTTTTTAATTCAATATTTTATTTATAATTTAATTTAGATTTAATAGCGAAGTAATTTATTTAGCGTTTAATAATATGATTTTTATGAAGATAATAATTAAGTATTTTGTTATAACTATTGATTATTCTAATTATATTTTAGATTTTTTTTATATTCAAAATAAGATGTCTATCATGTATTTGATTATGTTTATCTATAGTTAGTTACACAAACTCAAAAATGAAGCTTTAATAAGTTATACATATGCATAATTTACTTGTGATCTTGAATTTTAAGTAATATGCATCAATAACAGTACCTTATGCATACAAAATAGTTTTTAAGAGTTTTTGTCAAATGCTTTATAATATTGTATTAGATAAAACATTATATATGAATCGACATTAATTAACTCTTGGTTGTTATCATCAAGATGGACAGGTGTTTGGAAACTGATTCGTCGTATAATTGTATTAAAGAAGATTGCAGTAACGACTATTATAATTAGCTGACCACAACAATTCATTATACTTGTATTTTTATAATTTCTTGAAAAATGTTACATATATATATATATCAACTACAAACAATATCGTAAAATATTGTTAATTATATTTATTTATTAATTGGATTGGGTCGACTCAATCTTATTGGATTATAAATTGTCATTCAAGAACTGACCGATCTAATTTGGTTATTGAAATTGTGTATCTGATCAAATCTAATTATAATCGATCGGTTGCAATTGAAAATCGTATATTTGATCCAATCTATTTGTGTATCTGAAAGGCCATTGGTTCGAACCTCGAGTACCTTGTTTTAATGGTTCAAAAAACAAAATCAGGGTCCTCTCCAAAGACCGATCTGGTCCTATAACAACACGAGGGTTCTTTCGAAGACTGGCATGATCCTTGAGGTGTTTAGTCTGGACTGACAAGTGTTCGTGATATTAGAAACCCGGGTTGGGTTCATGTGAGATAGGCTTGTTTTCGTGAGATCACGTTTTTATACTTGAAACTTCACAGCAAAACATTGTGAAGGTAAAAACAATCCAAACATTCATAACAAAACAAAAACACTGTGAAAAGTTACATTTACAATGTTTTGTTATGAAACTTCAAGTGTAAAAAAATGGTTTCATGGAAATAAGTTGGTCTCACGTGATTCTAAGTTTTGGAAACCACATATCACAATTGATATATTTTTAGAAAAATAAAATAAAATAAAGACTATGTAATATATTTAGGTATTTATTGTATAACACTGTAGAGGATCAATCAGAATACAGAAGCACAGAGTCTTTTATTTATATTCTTATTAGAATATAAATTTCAATAGAAAATTACATTTATCTGAAACTAGTCTATTTTTGTTATAAATTAGCAACGATTGTCACTAGATTAGCAATAACATTAACAATTTATGATGAGAAAAGAGTGAATATACTTATGTAAGTATATTCAAGTGCATATTTAGGGGTTGTTCGTTTATTTCTTAATAGTTTCATTAAGAGACAACATTTGAATCATTAAGAGGTGAATCTTGTTTGACAAAAAAAAATGTCTTTTAATGATTCTAAAACCCTCTGGATGATTTTGTATCATGGGCCTCTCTTATCCATTAAGCGCTCAAATTTCATTGTAAACAATTACCAGACAATCATATTTCATTTTAGACAATATCATGAAAGTCTCTTAATCATTATGATCACTTAATTAGTATTTATCAGATATTTTATTATATAAGATACCGTTTTGATAGATTAAAATATTTATCGACAAATAAATAATAATATTGAATTTTATGGTTAACTAACTATCTACCCAACGGCCCCTTGATATTACAACAACTTTTCATTTTAAATGGTTTGAATAAACGAACAAATTGCAAGGTGATAAACTCTAGGGTTCCAGTTTGACTCCACTCGTCATCTATACGCACTGCGATGTTCCACCACCTTGCCGCCCACATCCTCCGCAACCCGACCACCGTCACCACCCTCATTACCATTATCACCACGTCAATTATCACCATTTTTATCTGAGGAAGTAAATCATCCTATCTTTCTGTTTCAAAGTATTCTCAGTCTGTTGAAAGATGTCTTTGGCGTATCAGCAAATGTCTGCTTTCAAGAGCTGTAATTCCTGGGCAAATGACGCTGCTTTCCGATTTGTACGCCCAAATCCGTCAACCACTTGCAATAGGTATTCTTTTGTAAACCCTAATTTGTTTGTTTTAACATCCTATTTTATTGCACTGTAGAGCTGAAGGGATGCCTGATTAAAAAGTTTATGCTCAATACAGTTTCCTAATACCTAATCTATACATCTTTCAACGTGATTGCAGCCGTTTTTTGCATAATTATTACTGTATTTGTAGTATGTAAATACTATTTTTGGCGCAACAATATTCAAATGTTAGTTTGCACCCAGAAATTTCTGAGGTGTGGTTTACGCTAATATTTTACTCATCGTATCCGAAGTTTCTTTTGTTGAAACTTGAAAGTGAACCATGGGATTTGTTTATTTGCGGATTAACTATTGTAGTAAGCAGTTATTGCCAACATGCATTAAAAAAAGCACTATACGTAACGTAAGTGAGCAATTCTAGTTCTTGAACTCTCATTGTTGCAAGCTAACCACTGAAAATTTTCTAAAAAGGACCAGTCTTTTTGCATTTTAACAAAGGACAATGGATTATTTGCAATGAAGTTTCAAGGACCATGGTAAAAAAACTAGTTCACTTATGTGCGACCATTGATTATTAGAATGAATTTTGAGGCCCTTGTAAGTCTTTGGTAGCCGGCTATTAGTAAATTCCCACAATGGTTTTAGCTGATCTAACAGTTATTGGATGAATTTGTAGATCAGATCTTGGCATGTTACATGCTCGTATCCATGCTATTTCTGAAGAAGCCTGGAACTTTATAAGTGCTTCTCCCATGGCTGTGTATCAGGTTCCTGAAAACAGGATAGATGAGTGCATGATCCAACATATGGATTTATTGTCACATTTGTTGCAGGCTACTGTGTTAATGAATCCCTTCATTGGACCGTGCTTTTGTGTCTTATATATTTTTGGTGAGCATAATACCTGATGAACCGTATAATACAGGCCTACAAGAAAGTACCCAGACAATACATTAAATGGCACATGTGATTTGTTAGTCTCCTGGCTTTTGTTTGCTGATTCTGGTTTTGCATTATTTGTTTTAAAGGAGTAAAAGCTAATTTACTGCTACTAGCTTCGCAGTGTTCGTAGTTCTTTTTGAGTTTTGACTGCTAATGACTTTTTCCTTATTTGATGTTATTAAGCAGGAGGGCAAGATGGATTTCCCCAAAAGCAGCTGTAATCCCCAATTTTCATCTACCCATGCGCAGTTTTGAAGTAAAGAACAGGTTTCCATGTTATCTCCCCTCACCCTTGCTACACCCCCACATATAATAGACACACTGAGAAGAACCACAACAAAGAGAAGACAAAGAGCAGTATTCCTAAGGGTGTGTTTGGTATGCGGGACAGGACTGAACAAAAACTTGTTATATCACGTCTTGTGCAACATTTAGACTGGAACAATGACAGGACCAAGTGGGACAAAAATGCACTTTTTGCTAGCCAAAATGGATGGAATAAAATTAGGAAGATGAGATAAGACTGGTAAATATTTAAACTACTCATGTCAAATTAAAACCCTAAAATCTTGCACAATTCTTCCACCCGCCTACCTCTCTTTCGTCCGTCCAGCCCTGTCCCGCCCAGTCCCATCTGCTTACGGAACGCACCCTCAATGAACATGCCTTTCTGTATATATTTCTTGCAATATACTTGGTGTTCAGGAATTTAGTTATTGAGTGAGTGGTAGCATGTGTTGAATATAATTGTTATAGTTATAACAGTGAGCAACTGGGCTTAAGATACTAATGGAAAAGCCTCACTTTGACTACATCGTGTCGGTGAACGAACTTAGTTTTGACTCTTTTGTATTCATGTGAAGTTGTGAACATTAAAATTACAATTTTATTGGAACATCCCACATCTCCTTTTCGTGGATGTCCCTTTATCTGTCTTAATTGAATGGACATTTTGGGTATTTGTGAGATAGTAAAAAATTCTACTTAGACCACTTGACAAATCAAAACTTGCAATGTTCATTGGACGGAGGCAGTATCAGACTATTAGACAGGTGGGTAGCTTATGTGTACACCTCATTCAAGAAGCAACTGAGTAACATCACAGGAATAGCAACCTTACACTTTGGTTTTTGACATCTGTCTTATAACATTCTTACCTTGCAAGTGCATTGGCTTTTTTTCACGATGCATCACAAGTTTTTGGCACTTAGGGTTTATGATAATAAAAGATCAACCTGAAGCCTTAAAAATTACAACAATAACATCTGAATCCTAGTAGGGTCTGGGGACGGTAATGTCAGCAGACCTTACCTGTAGCCCGGGGGGTAGAGAGGTTGTTTTCATGAAAGACCTCTGACTTGTATTTGTTCATGTCCCTTACCTGAATATTATTTGTAGAACAATTACTTTTTCGATATGATTACCTCCCTCACGTAGTTAAGCTCCATCGATATATTTTATTAGTTGTGAGATGGATGTCTTGGTACCTGTTATGTTTAATTAGCACTTCAGCAGCAATTAGAGCAAATTTCAAAATTGTATAGGCAATTACCAGTGAAGTACATGGCTCTCATAGGATCACCAGTGACTGTTACACTTTAATGTTTATGAACTAAGCACTTGTTATTTAATTGGCTCAATCAGTTTGCAGAATTATTTTACGTTTCTGTTTATAGTTGCTGAAAATAATTCATTTGTAAAAGCTAGTATGCTCTATTAGTGAAGACTTTCCAAATTCATTGTTTCCACTTCTCTTTGTTTTTTTCTATTGTATTTCTAATACACCCCTTTGCTATCTTATCAGGACTTCTACAGATGAGATCAAGTCTCTGAGGTTGATAACTGCAATTAAAACCCCATACTTACCCGATGGGAGGTTTGATCTAGAGGCTTATGATGCCTTGGTCAATATGCAAATTGAAGGCGGGGCTGATGGAGTGATTGTAGGTGGGACCACTGGTGAAGGCCAGTTGATGAGTTGGGATGAACACATCATGCTCATTGGCCACACCATCAATTGCTTTGGCATGTCAATCAAGGTTGGACCACCGTTCTTTTTTCTTTTTAATACATTTGGGGCGGAGTGAGATTGAACCTTGCGATTCAGTAACAGCCTACAGGTGCCTGTTCCCCACCTTAATTTAGGGGTCTTAAAGGTGCACCCGCTTTGAAATGATTGTGTTCTCCTAAGTTAACAAAAAAGTGACTGTAGCCTACTGGTTTATAATTGCATGCGACATTGCATGTGCAGCTTCGACTCTTTTTTAATTTTTTGGTAACAACAGCAGAAAGGAATAGAAGGAGAACCCACATGGGTGTTGCAAAAAAGCACTTGTATGTCGTCTTTAATCAAACCTTACTTTTTATAATTAATTTTTTGTTTTATTTCATATTTTGTTAATTATTTCGCGTCCTTGCGTGAATTTTATTTGGATCCGCCTCTGCTAGCATGATAGACAATATGCCTAACCACCAGATGATATCACATTGATCTCAGGTCATAGGAAACACCGGAAGCAACTCAACTCGAGAAGCTATCCACGCAACTGAACAGGGCTTTGCTGTTGGAATGCATGCTGCTCTTCACATCAACCCTTACTACGGGAAAACCTCGCTCGAAGGCATGGTTTCTCACTTCAAATGCGTCCTCCCAATGGGGCCCACGATCATCTACAACGTACCATCCCGAACCGGCCAAGACATCCCGCCATCCGTCATCCAGTCTCTTGCCGAAAGCACCAACTTGGCTGGTGTCAAAGAATGCATGGGACACGACCGAATAAAAACATACAGAAAAACCGGCATTACGGTTTGGAGCGGCAATGATGACGAGTGTCACGATTCAAAGTGGGACCATGGGGCTACAGGAGTCATATCGGTGGCTAGCAATCTGGTTCCTGGTTTAATGCGAGAACTCATGTTTGAAGGTAAGAATCCATCCTTAAATGCAAAGCTTTTGCCTTTGATTAAATGGCTGTTTTGTGAGCCCAACCCGATTGGGGTAAACACGGCTCTCGCTCAACTTGGAGTTGTGAGACCAATTTTCCGGCTACCATATGCACCACTTCCTTTGGCGAAAAGGATGCAGTTCGTTGATATAGTTGGGGCGATTGGACGGGAGAATTTTATAGGAGAGAAAGATGTTGAGGTTCTTGATGATAACGATTTTATCTTGGTTGGTCGATATTAGTGGTTCGATCAAGTTAAATAATTGGGAGTTGGAAATCTTTTTCTAAAGTTTGCCGGTTTTCCCAGTTTTGAGTTTCAGACAACATTTTGTTCTCACCCATGTTTGCTGCTATGAATGTTTTTATTGTTCATCTGTAGCTTGCAACTTGTTGCCATTTCCAAATTGTAGATTAGTGTTGTTAGAAGTTCTGGGTTTTGCTATTTGTTAGCTTATACAAGTGAGCTTTTTAACTCATATTATAGCTTAACCAAAATGACCAACATCATCTGTGGAGGAGCTTTTGCTTGCATTTTGTTAAAGAGAATTGACACAAAACCTAAAAGTTTGCAAAACTCGATGCCTCCATCATTAACAGAAAACCCCTATATATAGGGTATGTACAAAGAAACCCTATCGGCTAAAACAAATCAATACAAATCTTGATAATTAATGATAAATATAAATCAAATCCGTAATTATCTCTAACTAATATAATCAACCGGCTAAG